AAAGAAGAACCAAAACCACATCAGTCCAAATGCACATCCATCAGGTCCTCCCAGGATGCCAGGGTTTCATCTGCTCATTCTTCAAAAAGACAAAGCATTCACCTAAGAGTCAGGAACACATACTAATGGTTACACATGTAGTTTTGATCTCAAATACTCAGAAAACAGGTTCAGACACTTACATTTCATATGAAGAAGAAAATACCAAGTTCATAGGAGCATTTAAAGAACTATACCTTATTCCATTCACTTGTGATTCGCAATACAATATGGTAATCATTCCCTGTTTTCAAAGGTGCGTTATAATATTTCCCGTAGTATAGCCTATCTCCAATAGATATCTCCAGGGCATCATCTGCAACATCTTTGGCCAGAAGTTCTGCCGCCACATATCCAGCAGTATCGGAGGCATTGCTAAAGAATGAGGTGGCCCCTTCATAATCACAGGAAAAAATGCTCTGGAGGGCCAGTGGAAGTACCAACACCTGATATGAACTGGAAGAAAAAAGAAAAATGTCTTGTCAGATCTGCATGTGGAGGATTCACTCACCTATTCATACATACTGAGCTCCTGTTATGATATAAGCACTTTTCAAAAGCACTGGGGACCCAACAATGGATAAGAAAAATTCCTGGCCCACATGGGATTTACCACCTGACAGCTCCAGCAGTCACGAAACTCCGAATCAACCTATGATGCCAAAGCCAGATGGCATTGATAAGTGATTCTGCAAGTTCCAGCGACAGAGTTGCTTCCTTAGCTAGAAGTTGTTGCATGTATCATCGCCCTGTGTGCCCGTCATATGGTTGATATAATCAGTGACTTTCACGTGGGGATGCAGAGCCAAGCGGTGGAAGGGTTTTAGCAGTCACATGGAAGCCAACTGCCTATAATAGTTAATGTACTAAGTCTGAAAAAGTCTCCAGACAATCATGTGGCCACTGGAAACAGAACTCATGTGATTGACATTCCCTGCAGTTCACAGTCTGACACCAAAGTTCATGTGAAATGAAGGAGAAGCCAGGGGTGCAAAGTCATCATGAGTTAATCTAGACTGACAAGATTTTAAAATCTTTCCAGAAAGGCAAAACGATACATGGATATGGTGAAACTGTTCCCTAAATGGAGGCATCAGACGTCAGTTTGTCAGGTATTTTATTATTATTTATTCCATCAAATAGCCTGCCAATGAAAGGATGTGTAGGAACAAAAGTATGCTGAGAGTGAGTCATGCCGACCTTTCTGGCTCCATGAATCCAGTCTTTATCTCCTGCCTCTGCTATAGTAAACATTTGATCAACAGCTATCTCTAGCTTACTTGATAACAAAAGTTTCAATTATTTACTCTAGAATATTTACAAATCCCTGTGCATTTCTTTACCTATGATTATCCCTGTACATTTCTTTAGCTATGATTATCCCCTCATTAATGTTTCTCAAGTTGAACAGTAAAGAGGAAAAGCTTGCATCAACACCAAATACAACTAACTTCCAAAACTCCTGAAGCCACACAATACTATTTCATCACCAAATCTTCTCTTCCTGTTCCACATTCCTAATGCCTGGGTCTCCTGCTTCATATAAGCTCATGAATCACTAGGTTTAAAACAGGGCATCCTCGTCCACAATATGGTATCATATTTAGAAAGCCTCCAGCCACCTATCAGGCTCTCAACATTCTAGGTATCCTGGGGGTCCTGATGCCATACAGACTGGCTCACTTTCAGTAAATGGATTTCTTCCAGAGAAAAGGAAAACCAGCAGGGGAGTAAGTGGTCACCACCAGTAAACCCTTACTCCTCTTGGCATCCACTACCTACAGGGAGCACCTATAACAAAACCTTTCCTCAGAGCTTTAGAAGGCAGCCCCATGAACCATGGTCTAGTGTGAAAGTAGCAGCTGCAAACTGCCCATAAACACAGCTTTAAATCTCTCCTTTCTTTCCATGTATAGGCAGTGGGTGTCACAAACAAGTTCAGGGTTCACTTTTACCCATTTGGCTTTGTGCATTGCCCCCTAGAGGCGTCATTCACAGAGCACGAAGCAGCTCCCTATTTAGCCTGATTCTTACACAACTTTCCCAGTTCCATCTCACAACTCCGGAGTCAAAATCTCCAGGAGTAGAGCTGGGAATGTGTATTGTTGGTAAAACAACCCAGGTGGTCTCTACTAACTGGCAAAGCTGGGAGACACTAGCACTCAGGGAGCCCAGCAAGAGGCTGAATCATCTGCTTAAGATTGGCAAGCTCAGGATGAGAGACTTGATGCCTGGCTCCCTGTCCCACAGTGTGGCCCAAGCTACTGCCCCCACACAATGCACTACAAAGGCTGAGGCCTGACAAAGCTGCTACCTCCAGCTCACACTGGATGGTCAGGCTGAGGAATGCGCTTCACTTGTCTGCTGGTAATGAGGCCCCATAATTTAAGGGAAGTTACTGGGGCAGTTTGAAACCTGATTGTTCTAGAAGGAGTTCTCCCGTTCCTCCCTTGATGATTCACAGACCTCCACTTCCTGTTTTGGAGTCACTGGCTGACATACAGACACAAAGATAGACTGTCATTTGGCTTTTCTTTTTGCCTTACGTAATCGTTTGGCTTAAGTATCACATTTGCTCTTGCACATTCTCTCAGGCAGTGATGTCACAACTTCTGCCCTCATACAGTGACAGAATTACAACGCCTTCCAGTAACTTGTCAGGAATTGAGAAACAGCCACTTGAGCAATGCCTGCCACTGGACTTAAACTAATATGAAATCAGGGAGACTTTTAGTATTATGAGGCTTTATTTTCATAATTTTATAACATCTCCTATTTCTTTTTACCTGGAATGCACTGAGAGATCACTAGTGTCCAGAACAACATAAGGTCATGCAGGTCAAGCTAGGCACACTGCCATCTCCTTGACCTGGCCCGGAGGGCAAGCTGTTCCTCTCTCCACACTAGCCCTTTATCTTCCTCTTTTTAAAAAGGAGACTGAAGGGGCCAGGAAGATGGCTTAGTGGAATAAGGATTCCCTGGCAAGCTCAAGGGCCTGAGTTCAATCCCTGGTTCTGCCAAAATAAATAAATAAATAAATAAAAATAAAAAGGAGACTGAGGGCCACTTGACTGGCAAGTGCAAGGGCCTGAGTTCAATCCCT